CTGTATCAGATTGAAATAAAAAGCGAATTCATAAAGACTTCTAAAGGAGTAGATGCACCAGTACCACTGATTGCGACACTCAGCCATATCACTCAGTATCACTAACCATTGATTACACTGACCACTGTGTACCCATCCAGGGAGCCTAACACGACCTATGTGAGTAGTTCTCCTGGTCAGTGTTCTTATACCCTCCAACCAGGTCTGATTTTGACCCTCCTCGACCTTTTCTCACCCAACAGCTGCCTCGAGAAACATCGCGCACTGCAGCAATCTATTTGGTGAGATGCGAATCACATACCCAAACGGGTCTACCACTTGCTTCAGTGGGTAATCGTGAATATCTAAATTTTTCACCCAACCTCAGCATTGCTCGCCCGGTTGTCCCGCCAGGCACGTGCAATGCTGCATAGACAGCGGTGTTCAAACACCGACAGTCTATCTTTATCCTAATTTCCGTAATGACCAAGTTTCTGCACCGCAGAGCAGAACTGGCCGGACTGCCGCGGCATATATTAGACCCTTCACAGACAACCGGATGTCGCGACGGTGCCACATATGTCTCAAGTTAGCAAATGCCAACCGAGCCTTCTGGATGCGAGCTGACACCTGATCCGTGATGTCTCCACCGGGTGAGATATAGCTGCCCAGATAACAAAACTTATCCACCTGCTCCATTACTTCTCCAGTTAGAGTGAGGCTGGGTGCTGGACCAAACATTACATTACATTTTACACTTTGAAGGTGCAAAACGTATACCGAACATGGCTACACTGGCATTCAAGCTGTCCAGAAAAGCTTGCAACTTACCTGGATCTTCGCTTAGCAGCACAGTGTCATATGCATACTCTTGATCAGGCCGTCTGTCATCTGGAAGTAAATCCATGCCACTATCCTTGCACGAGGATAGGGCTGTTTCAACAAACAATTCTATAACAAAGTTAAATCGGTGACCCTCAAGAAATTCCATGCTTTTCATTTTGTGTGACCTTCTGGTGAAAATGGTATACTGCTGAAAATGGTAACAGCTACAATTTTTGCCATTTTATTCGGGTTGGTTGTAGTTGCATTGGAAACAGAATGCATCTTCTTTTAGAAATCCGTTTGTGATGAGTTTCACAGGACCAGGTTTCACTGTTACACGAAATCTGGAGTAGTACGTTGTGTTATGCTGCATTCTACAGTGCGTAACCGTATACTAAATCGATTTAAACAGACTGGATTTCTTATATGATGTAAAATAGTCACTTGTTAGTTCATTTTATCCGTGACCAAATCAGAATATTTTTGAATTGACCTTATTTGACTAATGCGTAAATATTTTTCTGCCAAATTCGAAGGCTTTCTTGTGTGGATAAGAACTACATGCGATAGAAATATCTGGGATAACCGACCAAGGGCGGTGGGCAAATTTTTCGTCCATGTTGAGACCTGTCAATAGTGTGAGCACATTCTGTATCCTTGCTCAGACTAAAACCTCGAACTTTCCAGTCCCAATAGGGAACACAAACAGTACACACTGCTGACAAGTCTCAAAAAGGACGAAACAGTTGTTCACTGACCTTGGTCGATCATCACAGAGATTTTTTTGTACATTGAACGCATTTAATATACGACAGAACTAACGAACTCCCCAGGGAGTGAAACCCACATCCAAGACCATTAACAGCGTCCGTAAACAATCAACTGAGCTAAATCAAACACAGTAATCTCAAAAAGAGAAAAATTGTGTGTAAATCTGGTTATTTATCAGAGTTAACACATAAATCGCATGGAGATTGGGGCCATTAGGTTTTTGAACATAATCTTTTGGTTTGAAATATAAAACATTCATTAGCTTCAGTGGGATTCGAACCAACCCATGTACGCCACCTACGCTTGTGTGCAGCTCCACCACCTAAACTGCGAGGCTACATTGATGGCATTCATCTTTTCACATGAGTATTGCCTGTATTGCCTGGAGGATTCTAAGAAAAGCCTGCGGTATGAATTGGCTTACATGCTACCTGGTTAATTCCGTCTGCCTCTGTAAGTTAGATGGGTAGTCCATGGGTGCTATCGGTGTGGCCCTGGTAGAATCTGAGCGGTACGAAAGGTAGGCAGCATCCATACGTGGTTTTGAATCCGACCGAGACTACTGAACTTTTCACAATTCGAACGTGCAAATTAAATCTGCCAAACACCATTACTGAACGATTCTTTTGTATTACACGCAGAAAGATGAAACGGCATACTCACTAGAATTTACTAGTGACCGTTGCTAACCAGCAATCATACCCCGAAAAGCGGAGTGGTGAACCACTCAAGACACCGATAGAAAAATCATTGAACTTAGTATCACAACAGAAAATACGTACTGATTTACTTTATTTGGTGTGAATGCACACAGTTTATGAGAGGAAATAGAAAGCTGTCTCTGGTCCTGATTAGTAAACAACAATAACATCTGTTGTTTACAGACCATCGTTTGTGAATTTGAGTGCGAATGCAAGTATTCTGTACTCTCTGGTGCTTGTCAAATATGGGTTACCATATTTATTCCAAACCGGTCGGAAATTGTGGCAACTAAATCACCGATAAACAAGTAAATAATAGTTCAACAATACGTTTCAATTGTGAAACGTTCAGCATCTTCGACAGGATTCGAACCCGAGCGTGGACCCCGCCCACGCTTTTGAACAATTCACCCTCTACCAGCTGAGATACGAGGCGACTAAATTTTCCACAATTTAAACATATGACTTAAATCTGCAGACAACATGGTTTTAGGAAATGAAAAAAGTTGGAGGTCCGTTTGTTGAAACAATTAGAGGAGGAAATATTGCCCCAATTGTGCGGATCCTAGAATTCGAAATTTCCTGATGAATCACTGTGTTTCAAAGATGCAAAATTCTGAAAAGACAGATAGCTAAACTCACCTCATCATTTATCACATTCTGAGAAGACTCTGATGATTCTTTGACTTCTGTCGGACTATCGCTTTCCCACTGGACAGAAACCCAATTAGGCCGTACACGAATAATCATTGTAATGTATGTTCGAACACTGGGGACGTCGAATGAGCGAATCAAATCAAATCCACTGAATTTCAATCTGATTAGGAAACTACATTAAGTTAAATCCTTTTAATAGTTAGTATATCTTTCGGGCAAGCATTCGTATAATCTACTTCATATTGTCTTATCAATGTACAACACTAGTCCGTTGTTACCTTCTCTCTTGGGGTCTTAGTTGATTCTCGTATGTTTTGGGGCTTCGGTGTGTGCAATTTGACAACTGGTATCACCGCTTTCTTCATCGTATCGTTTGTTTAGGGGATTGTGGATTTGGAATTGATTTATCTGACATCATCTCTCAATTTGGAAAAGAAAGCTTTTAGGAAGTGATTCGGAATACAGTTGGGTATGGTTGTTCTGCTGTGGGAGTGATTTCACCAAACAGAAGTTAATGAGGAATGAGGTGACAACTGAATTAGATATGGGTTAATTCAAGGACTAAAACAACTTACTGGGTGATTCCTTACCAAAGTAAAGGTATTTCACTCGGACAGATATGATCTAATGGATATCAAATTGTTAGAACCATATTCACATTACCTCAGTATGATGTGATTGAAGGAATCAGTTTTATCACAGATATCAGTCTGTAATGATGACAGAGGCGGATAAGCAGAGCAAAGGAATGTGACAAGGCTAGCGGCAGTCAATCCGTGAGTAAGTGGGGTGGAGGTTCTCGGCCAATTTCGTCAATAGAGGACATGTAAGAAACGGGATACCTTCAAAATAATTCCCACTCTATCCCGGAGATATGCAAGAGGAATAAGTCAACTTTTAGCCACAGCTAAGGCAAACACAATTCATATTTTTAATCCCGAAGTGCGCAAGAAAAAAGCGCATGTCTAAACACTGTTGTTAACCTGGTCTGGACTCCAGATTGATTGTGAATAAAGCAGAGTATCAGCTCTTCCAACATCCACCACGACCGTGAACCACTCACCACAATCAATTACTTTTTAATTTTTCCTTCCCGATCAAATACTATGCTAAGCAAGACGTATGGTTTTCTAGTTTATCTGACGTAACGTCATCCCACTATCTTGCCTTAGCTCGTAACTCTAATCAACATTTTAATCAACCTATCTTATCTCTACCGTTATTTCATCTGAGCTCTCACCGCCCCCGTCACTCTCTAGCATGGACTATCGCTAGCCTTGTGACATTCACTTGCGCTGCTTGCTCATCTGTGTTATCCGTATAAACTGAGCGGTAATCGACCAATCAGAACTATTTTTGTCAATCTCTGGTCGCGAA